TTAGGGTGGCATAGTCTGGCATACTTATTCGTAGAATATTTCTGTAGCAAACTTTCTAAAGATGGTTATTATAACATTATTAAGACATGATAAACAATTATAATCAACAAGATATTATCAGAAATAAATAGATTTAGCTACTCATGAACATAAATGAATATACCTGTTCTTGTAGATATGTCATCTCTGGATTTTCCATAACTTATTTTTTGTGAACTAGCTCTGATACCAATGTGGGGTGGAAGCGAAATTAGAGAGAGATGTAGTAGAGAGGAAAAAAGGATTGATTTTATTATGAGGGAAGCCCTCTATTTATACTACTAAATTTACATATCTGGCCAATGTAAGTGGCCGGCATGGTCTAACTTACCTACATAACGGAAGACTTAAATCAATAAACTTATATTTCTTAAATAAACTGGAATATTAGAAATGAACATTAAAATTGTCCATTAAGGCAAACCCAAGTCTTAACACGATATAATGACAATGAAAATACTAAAGTACATCTAACTGATTATGAAGCTTGTAAACAATCAAGGTGGATGTTGAGACAAACCCCAAAACATCCTAATGAATAAGACTACAAAGAAATAAATGATCCCTCTAGAATGCAAGAAGGCTCACCAACAGACTCCGAATGTTCATGTTGGATCAACATGGCCCTCAATGCATATCTTGGTTACTTGCGTCTACATCATAATATGATGCAGGGAACTGACATGAGTACATTGACTATACGAGTATGAGAGTTGGAATGCTAAAAATATAGGTCTTGAAAGAGATAACAAAAGTAACACATCCCGTGGTTATTCTCAACTTATGAATAACTTAACTTAATATAAAGAAATTAAATTAGATGTGATGCATATAAAGCTTTATAAAAAAGCTTAAAATAATCTTAGTTCTTTCAAGATAAAACAATAACAAACTTAACTTTAATGATATAAAAAGTAATATAACTTCTGTTGGAAAATCTCTAACCGTCAACCATCACCATGAGCCTGAGTAATGATGGTACAACGTTTTATTTCATGTTTCCAAGGACCCTCCAATACCTTGCCATCAGTATGAGACCTAAACTACTAAGTTTATCCGCTACTTTAGGCAAAAAACACTAAGGAATCATCTAAAAAGTATTACCCTTTTTCAGTCCATGATGGTTACAAGGTTTAAAGAGGGGTTGAATTAATATGAACTTGCGTCCCTGTATAGGTGACTACACCCAAGATACACTAGCTTAAAACAACTTCTTCGCCGTTTTAAGATAATTACTCAAAACTAGCTTAAAAGCTCTCTTGGAATCAACGTTTCCTTTTTCGTTCAAAAATCATTTGGAAATCTCAGTTCCTCTCATCTTAAATATGAAAAACATTTACTCTTGGGAATACTTAGTTCTCATATATTAGTTAAAGAAAATGAACTTTGTTTTCACTTGTTACTCATACTAAAAAGTTTAAGTCATAAAACAAAGTTAAAACGTTTGTAAAAGTCTTGTGCAAACTTTAAGCAAACATCTCTTACTTGACTCTTGACTTCTCTTTACTTGGATCTGAACTGCTCTTGACTTGACTCTTAAGTTATCCTTCATTTGAACTATGAATTCAAGGATTACTATGGACTTTGTTGTAGGTTTGCCTACCACAGTGGGTGGTTATGACTCTATTTGGGTTGTTGTTGATAGGCTGACCAAGTCATCCCACTTCATCCCGGTTCGGGTGAAGTATACGGCAGAAAAGTTAGCCGAGCTATATATCAGTCAAATTGTGCGACTACATGGAGTTCCGATTTATATCATATCAGATCGGGGTTCATTATTTACTTCTCATTTCAGGAAGGCATTACAACATGGTCTGGGTACTCAGTTAGATATGAATATGGCCTTTCACCCTCAAACAGATGGTCAATCTGAGCGGACCATTCAGGTGTTGGAAGATATGCTTCGAGCATGTGTGATCGATTTTTGTGCTAGATGGCATCAACATTTACCATTAGTGGAGTTTGCCTATAATAATAGTTATCACTCTAGTATCCAAATGGCCCCATTTGAGGCGTTGTATGGAAGACGGTGTAGGACTCCGATTGGTTGGTTTGATTCGGCAGAGATGGACTCTTTGGATACAGACTTGCTTAGAGATGCTATGGAGAAAGTCCGCATGATTCAATATAGATTATTGACAGCTCAGAGTCGACAGAAGAGTTATGCAGACAGGAGAGTTAGAGCCTTGGTGTTTATGGAGGGTGATCATGTTTGGCTCCGAGCATCACCCATGAAGGGTGTGATGAGGTTTGTAAAGAAGGGAAAGCTTAGCCCTAGGTTCATTGGACCATTTGAGATTTTGAGACGAGTGGGAGAGGTGGCCTATAAGTTGGCCTTGCCACCTAGTTTGTCGACAGTTCCTCCTGTTTTCCATGTCTCTATGCTTCGGAAGTATATTCCGGATGAATCTCATGTGATTTCACTCGATTCTGTGGAGCTGGGTCAAGACTTGACATTTGAGGAGGAGCCTATAGCTATTTAGGATAGGCAGGTTCGAAAGCTTAGGACCAAGGAGATTGCTTCAATGAAGGTGTAATGGAAGCACCGATCAGTAGGAGAGGCAACTTGGCAGACTGAGTCTGACATGCGTGCCATATATCCTCCACTTTTTGAAGCTTCAGGTACTTTCTTTCACTTTGTGTTCGAGGACGAACATGATTTTTAGTGGTGGATAATGTAATGACCCCAGAGGTCTATTTTGATAATTTTGAACTATTCATTGACTTTAGTTAATTATTTGTGGACAATTGACTTAATTGATAGTTAATGGACAAAAGTATCTTTTATTTAAGATCTTATACCATTTGTTCCATATAATAAAATTAAGTTAGTAAAATTTACCACTTAAATACCTAATTACTTTAATTAAAAACAAGAAGGAGATAAGAGAAAAAGGGAAAGAAATTAACCTGTGAGTGGTGGCGACACCACTTAAACTCGTCCAGGTAAAGAGCAATGCTATCGAC